AGGGAGCCCGATGCGGGACTCGATCCCGGGACTCCAGGATCATGACCTGAGCCGAAGGCAGTCGCTCAACCAACTGAGCCACCCAGGCGCCCGGGATTTCTTTTCTAAATGGGAATCAGCTGAGAAATGGTCTCCATTTGCAGATGTGGAAACAAACACAGAAAAGGAGCCCAGGACCCCCACCCAGTCTAGGGCAGGAGGCAGCCTGAGGGAGCCTGGGCAGGGATGCAGAGGGGGCATCTGACCGCACCCTGGCTAGGGACTGAGGCCATGAACACAGAGAGAATGAGTATGCTCGCCCCCACATGGCCTCTCTCCCTCCCTCCCTTCCTCCACTGGCCCCAGCTACCAGCCCTGCCTTCGGAGGGCACACTGCCTTCCCTAGGGTTTGTGACAGGTGAGAGGTGAGTGCTGCTCAGGCACTCTTGGAGCCCACTGTGAAGGCCACAAGCTCCCGTTGCAGCTTTCCTTCCTGCCTAGGGAGCGGGACCCTCAGGGTGGGGGCCAATGCCCCCCTGGAGGGAGTTCTGCCGGCCCGGCTCACAGTGGACAGGGATCGGGAGCTATGTGGGCCTCACCAGGGGCCTGCACAAGTCCATGCCGCCCTGACCCCACGAGACCGACGAGCCGGGCACCACAGGAGGGGGTCTTCCCTGTCTTCGCTCATTTACTATCTACAGCAACCCCATCACGTAGCTTTTATCACCCCTACTCCCTCCGACCAGAACGAGGGCCTACAGAAATAAACGCGACATGCTCGCAGTCATACGCTAGCCAGGGACGGCCAGTCTCCACCAGCAGCTGGGGGCGCTGTCCTGCGGTCCTGTTCTGGCTCACACGCAACAATGAAACGCCTGCGGCTTGCTCTGAAGCACTCACTCCAATTACAAAAGATTTAAGGAAACAGCTGTAACAACTAACACGCCCCACAAAATGCTGCCCTCCTACAACGGGACCACGCCGGCCTGGGTTTGAATTCGGGTTCTACCGCTTAACTAGCACTGAGAGTCTGGACCAGTGACTTCTCAAAGCCTCGGTCCTGTCACCGGCAGGTAAACGGGGCAGCAGCAGCCTGGCTACAGGACTGGCGGGAGGGTGAAATGACATACCCCATGGAAAGCACCCAGTATTTCTGTCCAGTAATCGTGGGTCCTGTCCTCTTTCTCGGGCTCCAACCTAATGACAGCGCCTTTATGTGGCTGGGCCCTGCCACGACACTGCGCACCAAGTCCCCAGGGCTTCTAGCATCTTGTTTCCCCCCCGGGTGCGCCGCTCCTGCATGTGCCTACCTCGTACACGGCCTTCCCCAGCATCTTGCCCACAAACTCGAAGAGCTGCAGGTAGTTCTCGTGAATGTAGGACGTGGGCGAGGGGTAGAGCCTCTCATCCCCGCTGGTTGTCTGCAAGGGAGAAGAATGGAGAGAGGCAGGGAGCCTACGTGCCCGGCCCTTTGCTTCTCACTCGTCAGAGAATGTGGCTGCCATCAACCCCGCTCCCACTCCCACTCCCCTTAAATACCTTGAACAAATTGAGTGCCGGGTCAAATACCCTCTTGATGATCTCCTCCAAGAACTCCTTGAAGACGCCGTCCTGGTCAATGCCTGCCTCGTCCACCCCGAGGTCGTTGACGAACTTGACGCGGATCACGCCCTTCATGGCGTGCTGGGAGAGCTGCCGGAGCTGCTCGTAGCCGTCCTGCGGAGGGCAGAATGGCAGCCCATCAGGAGGGGGAGGCCCTCTGCCTAACTCACGGCTGCCGCTCCAAGGTTCCGGCTCCCCTGTGTGAAGCCTTCCTGGCGTAACTAGTGAACACGCAAGTCAGGACGTGGGTGTGGGGATGGGCAGTTCTCACCCATTTTTAAATGAGCCGGTTAAAAGGAAAACTCATCTTGGGGACGGGACCCCCCTGCTCTGTGGCAAGGGGAGGCTGCCCTCGAGATGATGCAGAGCACGGAGATGGGGAAACCCGACAAGATGAGCTGCAACAAGCTCTTGGCCGTCAGACAAAGGACGGAAGTAACGGGGACAAGATCCCACCCTATTTTAATGCAAAGACTAGCTTATTTAGCTCATGGTAAAAATCAGTGAAACTCAGACCCTATGAGATAAAAATAAAAATACCCCCACCCCTCAACTCCTGGTCTCTTTCCCCAGATCATGAAAGGCCTGGGTGAGTCAGGCTAAGGAATTTAGGGTCCACCCTGAAGGGCAGCAGGGAGCCACAGAAGAGTCCAGGCAGGGAGAGACATGACTGGCTTTCTCAGAAAGATCTTTGTTGGCGGCAGAGCAGAGATGGCAGAGACAAGGGTGCAGGAGTGATGCTGGGCCCACACAAGGCAGGGGCAGCAGGGAGAAGCCCAGCACACCCCCTGGCTGGCAGCCATCCAGCAACCCCCATGCAGAACTCGAGGATGCGACTTTAGAGTTCTTGTATTCGATTATATTGTTTAGTCCGCCTCTCGATTCTAATCTGTTGAGGTCTTTAGGCTCCTGGTTCTGTGTTCCTGGCATCAGCAAGCTGCTCAGGGTTTTGTTCTCGAGGAGTGACTGCCAGAAGCAGTGCTGAACAAGACAGCAGCCAGGGAGCAGTCTTCTGGTCCAACAGGACACACTCCATCTTGGGGGTGCAATCGAGCTCTTTAGATACTGTCGTGTAAGCTGCAAATCAACTGCAATATCCTACTGAGGCCACCCTGCGGGTCTCCCTCCCAGTCACAGCCATGGGGCCATCAGACGTTCCGCTAACACGAGACAGACCATGTCCACGGCAGCCACCTACCTGCCAGTGACAGCCCTTGTCACAAAGCACAGGGGCCAGACTGGTAAGAACTGCTTTGGGGAACTCCTGCCGCCTTCCTGCTGATCATATTTCCCTCGTGATGCAAATGACTGTCCCCTGGTGGCTCCTGATCTTATTCTGGGGTTAAACTCCCAAGTTTGAGAGCCAATAATAACCATCTGTGGAAGGCAGAGGCTTTGGGTGTGCAGTCCTGAGAAGCACCTGAGAAGTGGAAGTTTGAGAACCACCAAGTGAGAGGAAAAGCAGCGGAACACAGGAAGTCAGCACGCAGCTGCAGCAGAATGGTCAAACCATTCTGCCTACATTTATGGTAATTATCTTGGCACGGAGTCCGGGATGGGTGGAGAGTTCCAGCATGTTCTTGCTTGCCTGCAGGACTTCCTCCATTCTGCTCTGAAATGATGCCTTCCTAAGCTGACTTCGCATTGGTAGGGGTGCCAGGATCACGCAGATTAAATGAGATGGTGTTACGTGCAAGCACTTAGCATGTGGCCGCACACATGGCAGGTGCTTAAGGAATGTTCGCTGGAGTTGAATCTCGCTTTTTCTTTATCAGCCCCATGTTGGCCTTTTCTTTGAAGAGCTGGAGAGAGGAATTTGCCAGCTGCTTCCTCTGACAAACTGCCTGCTGCGCCCTCTGGGCACGAGTGTCACTACACAAGAACTGGATCGGTGTCCTTCCTTCTGGAAGGTGAGCGGGAGGAGGGTATCCCTCTTCCCCACTGCATCTCAAACAGCAGAGGCAGAGGACTCTGACCTGGGGATGAGAGCCCAGCTGTCCCACTGAGACCTGAGTGAACGTGACTATGAATCTTAACTTCTCTGGCCTCAGTTCCGCCTTTGACCGAGGGGACAGGGCTGGGCAGAGGATGTCTTACGGTTCCTCCTGGTCCTGAGATGCTAGGGTCCCAGCCCAGTTTACCCTGTGAGGAGAAGCCTTCTTGCAAGACTTCAAACTAACACCTGCAAGGGGAATACTGAAGCGCCATCTTCAATAAAACCACAGAAAAGGAGACTGAATAAAAGGCCAGAAGAGCATAGGCGTGTCTAATATCAGCTTTTTGATGCCCCCTTGTGTCCAAATCAAGCAAATGCCACTGGGCTCTCCTCTCACAACCAAACTAGCAGGTAATGAGAACTAGGGTAACTGAGTATGTGACCCTCTCCTCCTCCTAGTTCAATAGGAACAACAGTAATCTGTTTCATGACGAGATAGACTCTAATGGAATAGAAGAAGAAAAGTGGACTTGGCCAAGAACCTAAGACAGACACCCCTCCTGTGACACCCTGAGGGCTGTGTTTGAGATAGCAGGCCTGGGGTAACCGGGCGTGCGCTGAGTCTCCCACAAGCAATGACACTTGAGGAGGGAGCCGGGGACTCCGTCACTCTCAGGACACATACCAGTCTCTACCACCACAGCCTTCCTGTTGGTGCCGGCTATATCTGAGAGGGACTGAGGACCGTAAGTGACAAGGGAGGAGCATCCAGATCTGATAAGGAAAGTGCTGGAGAAGGGTGCTTCCAAACACAACTGGGCTTTTTCCTCTCTGAGTCAAAGCAAAGCCTGCAGACTGGTGGCCCACAGGGTGGATTCGCTGGGTCATCTAACCTTCCAGACACTTCACAAAACCCCAGTCATTCACAACATAAAAGCCCCTTGGCCTGCTCTTAAAAACCCAGAGGAGGGCGCCTGGGTGGCTCAGTTGGTTAAGTGTCTGCCTTCGGCTCAGGTCATGATCCCGGGGGTCCTGGGATTGAGTCCCATGTCGGGCTCCTTGCTCAGTGGGGAGTCTGCTTCTCCCTCCCCCTCTGATGCTCCCTCCCCGCTTGGGTTCTCTCTGTCTCAAATAAACGAATAAAAGCTTTAAAAAACAAAAAACCCCCAGAGCATAACGGAGCCTGAATTCGCACACAGAAGTTGTCAGGTGGGATGAAGAGGAGGTGCCAACCCCTCTCTACTGCTCGCCAACCCTGAGGCTGGATGTCAGGTGTCATCTGCCCACTCAAGAGAGGGGCTTTTTTTCTTACGTAGTTATCTATGCTGAGGGCTGTGTTTCAAGAAGAGCAGGAGGGAGCAGTGGAAGTGAAGAATACTCCTACCGTTTCGCGTGCAAACAAGATGCTCCTGTGCGGACATACTCAGCCAGCTTGACCCATTCCCGTGACCAGGGAGGGTCCCTGTAGGCACTTAAGTTTCTTCTACTTTTAAGAATGTCAAAAGCATCATCTGGCTAACACACGCTGCCTCTCCCAGCAGACCCGTGTCAATCGCCAGTGTTCAGGGGAACTAAAAGCAGCTCTCCAGGAAGGAGCAGGAATGCCCCAAAGGGGAGAAATGAAAATGTGGGGGAGGGGGTGGGGAGGAAGGGCTGCTGCCAGTGCCATTTGCTGGTGGCTGGCTATGTGGCCATGTGCCCTGCCGGGATCCCACAACTGCCCTACACCGCAGAACGTGCTAATTTGCCAGGGGCTGTGGCTGGAGCCCGAGAGAAGGTCTGAAGAGCAAGCCCGGGCAACTGTATCAAGTCCAGCCTCTCCTGGGAATGTGGACTTGGGGTTCAGTCACCAGTTTGACCTTTGGCAGGCTCAGCACATTTGGGAAGGCTCCGCACTGCACAACCCTGGGGGGTACGGCACACAGTGACCTCATAGGCATGTACGTTTACTATATCGACGTTCCAGCAGATTGTCATCAGCATCATGTCCTGACAAAAACATTAAGTTATTACAATTTTCGGACATACAGAGGTAAAGTGTTCTGAGAACAGGCATCTATCTCTTGTTCACATGAAGCTGCCACACAGTAGTCACGCTGGAGACTGGGCTTGGCTGAGGTGGGCCACTGTTTCTCCTAAGCTCCCGTCTACGAAGAACCCCTAGCTCTGTGGTAAATGCACCCCCCAGTATGGCTCAGTCAACTTACTACCTACACTCCAGCCTGCACATTCACAGTTGGGAGTCTGGGCAAAGTGTCTCCCAGGGCAAAGGGAGTTTGCCCAGACACGGGAATGTCTGCACGTAGCACCCCTTGTCCTCACTGCAAAGAGCACCAAGTGTTCGATGTTCCAGCCCTGGGGCCCTGGTGGGGAAAAGGCAGGGAAATACCACACTGTGGGTCCCCAGCACTGAGGTCATGTTTAATCAAGCAGCTCTCCAGAGCACATGATGGGACCAACAGCCCCATTCCAACCCCGAGCCTTGATTTCAGTGCTATTAGATCAAGGACTGACATGAATGGTTGGAGGTAACGGATCATCCACTAAAAATCCAGCATTTCACAGAGTACACCTCTTTTTGATGGGCTTCTCACCTCCAGCATCCGGGACCGTCGGATAGTGATATGAGTGACGTGGGGAGAGGCCGAGCTGGTCTCCACAAGCCCCAGTTTCTCCTTCTCCTTGGTGACCATGTTTCGAAACAGGAGAACTCTCTGAAATGAGCAAAGGTGAGACCAGAAACTGGGTCAACAACCGATGATTCCCGGAGACACAGTGTACAAGATTAGTGAAAAAAGTCATATGAGAGGCAAACAGAATAGGACACTCTGATATGCGCTGCAGGTTAGAAGTGTCTTGGGAGAAGAGTAGACATTCCCCAACACAATCTGGGGAATTAGAAATTATAGCCGAATACATGCCAAGGAAGAAAGGTCCCAGAAAGAGCGGTCTGGCTGTAGCCAGAATGCACTTTACAATGGTCTGGGAGAAAATGGTTCTCATTCAGTTGATAAACCACTATAAAGACCTGGCGTCAGGACAGGTTACAGAGGCTGCCTTATAAAGCTGAGCCTGCTTTAAAGGAAATCAATGGTATGAGTTACAAAACAGAAACATTTCAAAGATAATTTTTTTCACGGTCTGAAATTTTAAAAATATGATCTCACAGAATAAAGGTCCCTGACCTTTTATCTGCATCCTCTGTGCCCTCAAGCACACCATAGCCCAACCCCCACCCCCCACCCCCTGCCAAGTAACATTCCTCAATTACTGTTAGAAAGGAACCCTCTCTCCCCGCCGCATGGTCAAGATTCTGATAAGCCCCTTTTAGGAGAGCACGGCCCTCTGCCCATCCTGGCTTTGAGCATCACTGCTGTACAAGCACTCAGATGTCAGCTGAATGAAGACCTAAATCCAACCACTGCTGTTTTTTTTTTAGCAAAAATGAGAAGCCCCACCGAAGCCAAAAGCTTTGTTAAATACAAACAAGGACAGTCAGAACAATAACAATGGTAAAAAGGGTTAACTATATACAGAGGAGGCTAGTGCATTCACATCTGATCATTTAATTGAGGCTACGAAGTAAATACGGCTGTAACAGGAAAAGCAATCGCCAATGGCCTCCTGAGGAGCAATGTATTTGGCAGAGGGGCTACTTCTCAGCGGGGCAGCTTAATGTGGCTGGTCGGCAAATCTAGAAACAAGGACTGAAGTGCTCTGAGTAGTACCAGAAGCTCTGGGGGTCCTAGGACAACATGGAGGGGAAGAACAGACTGAGCATCAGGGAGGGCAGCCGTGATGGGGGTGAAGGGCACCGTCGCCTATCCCATCTGTGCGGGGGGATTGCCGACTTCCAGAACAGGTCTTTCATTTGTGTGGGCTGTGGGGCACAACGGCTTCCTCTGACCTCAAATCTTTAGCATGATCACCTGCACACAAGGCAGAAGAAGAGCTTCCCATCCGGGTGGATCCAGTATGGGGCAGAGACCTCATACACAGAAGTGGAAGTGCAGAGGAGGCTGAGGGAATGCCCGCCTCCCAGGAATCCCAGGATGAAGCCCTGATTTCCATGGGGTGTGGAAGACGGATTGGGGCGACTATAAGCAGCGCTCAAGGGGCTGAGAGGCCTCAGTGACCACAGGAGACATATGGGAAAGGACCTGTGTCTCCACCGTGCAGATGAAGAAAGTAACTCACCTAAGGTCCCACAGCTGGTGGACAGAGGGGCCAGATTCAAACCCAGGACCCACACACAGACCACCACACCACACAGCCCCTGCCCACCTCACAGGGTGCCAGGCATTCCAGGCCCAAAGAAGAGAGAAAGGCCTCAAGTCCCAGTCGCACATAGATTAGTACAAGCTACGTAAGACAGCACAGAGAATGAAGTGCTGTGTGAACCAGGCAGAGTGGAGGCCTTTAAAAACATTAAGGGAAGCAAGAACAGAGTTGTGAGCCAGCCACTTGAGTGAGGTCAAGAACAGGGAGAGTTTTGGCGTTTAGAGCCGATGCCGTAGTGACAGACGCAAGAGAGCAGGCAGGACTACAGAGACCCTATGACCTGTGCCTGCCGGCAAGACGCGTCAGGGCGAGGGCAGCACACTACACGTCAGCACGGAACAGAGCCCTCACCACTCCGACACACTGAGCCACAGATGCCCTCCCGGACCTGCCAGGGCCATCACGGGATCAGGACAGGGGCCAGGAAGAGTCCCCAAGAGATAGGAAAGAGAGACTTCGTGAACCAAGTAACAAAAGCCTTGATGGCAATCTTCAGCAAAATTCCCCGAAGAAAAACACAGCAAGGATTAGATTAGAGCCCCCAGGTCATGCCAACTAATCTTAGAGGTTCCCAGGCTTCTTGTTCTCAGCACCCCTAAAGGCTCAGGAAGGACTTTCACGGCACTCCTAGGTCAAAAGAAATACAGCGCCATTTACAAGGTGGCTAGGCTCCTCAACCACTTAATAAGTATTTGTGTGCATCGTCACCTGGGCGGCTCAGTCGGTTAAGCATCTGCTTTCAGCTCAGGTCATGATCTCCGGGGCCTGGGATCGAGCCCCGTGTTGGGCTCCCTGCTCAGTAGGGAGCCTGCTTCTCCCTCTCCCTCTCTGCCCCTCCTCCCCCTGCTTGTGTTTTCTATCTCTCTCAAATGAATAAATAAAATCTTTAAAAAAAATAAATATTTGTGTGCTAAGGACTTAGTAGCTATATTTTAAAAATACATGTACATTGAAATTAAAAAAACTTCTTTAAAACCCAGCTTAGCAAATAGGACATCCTCAAGAGGAATGCTGACATCATGAGCTTGAGCTGGTACTTCACAGAGTGGCCAACAGATTTCATTGTGCTCCTCTCAAAAGCTTAAAATATCCTGTGGACAACCCAGGGCCACCCGGGCACGCCATCTGTGAACTGCAGAGACGGAGCGGAGATCCCAGGCCACGCAATATGGGAACGCCACAGTCCAGGGCTGACTTTGCAGGCACGCAGGCCCAGGGCGAGGTGCTGTGTGAGAGTCATCTGCGCATCTCAGAAGATTTAGAGATTCCACTGTCTGTGGCTGTTCAAGGACCAAAGGGTCGAAGGTACAGAGCAATCACTCAGTTTCAGGTGAGGAAGAACGTTCCATCACTGGGCAGAGTAGAGCAACAGCACGTCTGGCTCTATCTGAGGCAAGGTCAGGGGTATGGTCGGAAGGGCTCCCTCTGGGGGTGGGGGTAGGGGGCACGTTTCACTAAGTCATCCCCATGAGATCCCTTCATTCCTGAGAGGCTCTGCTGTCAAGTGCAACAAGAATTTAAACAGCCACATCCGTCTGCTAATTGCCACTTGAGGGAGAAGAATGACAATCGCGAGTATTAACATCAAGGTCAAAACAGTATCAGCAATGAGGAGTAAGTATCTCTGAAAAATAAGGTTCAATATACAAAAACGTGACTTGTGCTCTTTTTTAAGAACGTCTTCCGTCAAAAAAGAAGGAAAGGAAAGAAAGGCACACGAAGACCTGTAGGAGCCCCCTCTGAAGGAGCCCTGTATTGCTGCGGTGTCCAGCAGACGTTTCTGGAGCGTCACTACAGACCAGGGATGCGGGCGATGCCTACCCTCACTTCCGGACACCCTCACCACAGGACCCGACCCTTCCTGAGCCTCTCCAGTCCCTTGAGTCTGGGACACCACATTGCTGGTTTCCTTCCTCTGATTAGTCCTCTCCTCATGCTGGCACTGTAAAGGACAGGTCCCTCGTCGTCTTACTCCATGTGGCTCCCTGACTACCCTGTCCATGGCCGTGGATGCAGCCAGGTTTGGGCACTGTCCACATGCGGAGCCTCTCTCCAGCTCCGCTGTCCAATGGCCTCGAGGAGTCGTGGACACCTCACCTGTTGCCTGCTCAAAGCTGACCTCACCAGCACATCCCAGACCTGCTCTTGCCTGTGCTCCTACCCCAGGAAATGACTCCCAAAAGCGCCCGGGAGCCCGAGCCAGAAACACGCCCACCACCTGAAATCCATCTCTTTCTCCTCTGAATGTCTTCGTTCTTATGATTCTATTGTCTTTCCACTCCTCTAACACCGCTGCCCCTAGCCAGGCCTCTATCCCACGGCCAGAAGGAACTCTCTAAAGCATAGCTCTGACCAGGGGCCCCCGAAGCTGAAAACACTCAGTGACTCCAACCGAAATCCACACTCCTGCCCTTGGTTTGCAAGGTCCTTCTGACTCCAACTCCTACAAACCTCCTCAGCTTCCTGGCTCCCCTTTATTTTCCCCACAGCCAGACCATACGGCCAGCCCTCCAGGAGCACCATACTCTCAATCACCCGGGCCTTTAACCACTGTCCGCTTTTGCCTCTAGAAGCTTCTCTTGATTCACTTCCCCCTATTCCCAGCTGGGTCAGGTCCGCTTGTCTGGGCCCCCACAGCAACCATCCCTGTAACATGCACCCCACCTGCCAGAACTGCCAGTTCCCACTGTCTTCAGTCTCTGTACTTGGCTTAACACCTGACGAAGCGGGAGATCCAATCACCGTTCGCATCTGCTGAGTGAATGAGCTCAGTTCTTTCTCTCCAACTGCTACAGTGAAGAGGGCAAGTCAGGTACCACGTGGTGGGACAGAAAAATTCACAGGAGCCCAGCTCCGAGAGCAACTCACGTTTTTGTGGGGAATGACGTGAGGGATGTACTGCAGGATCAGCTGGGCCCGTTTCCTGTCCTTGTCCAGTTCTTGGAAGAGCACGCTAGGTTTGAGATCCCTTCAGAAGAAAGGCATGGGTTTGGGGTTATTACAACATGAAAACCATTCTCTAGCGCAGGGGTGGCCAACGACAGCCTGCTGCCGTTTCTGTAAATCAGTTTCCATGGAACACAGTCACTACATACGGTCTCTGGCTGCTTTCACGCTACAACGGCACAGTTGAGCACTTGCAAAACAGACCGTGTGGTCGGCAAAACCTAAAATATTTACTGTCTGGCCCTTTACCGAAGTGCCTGCCAGACCCCACTCTAGCGCCAGAACCTGAGTTGACATGTCATTGATAAAAAATTGCAGACATCTTACGTTTAGTTGTTGCAAGAGGATTTCCCCACCCCACCCCTGAAAAACCTAGCTGTCATTTTTGTCCTGTTCATTCTGCTGATAAAAACCACCGCTGAACTATTGTAACCTGCTGCTCAGCTCAGCTAGAACTTGCTTCCCATTTGCTAAATGGGACCTGGCGCTGTCACCATAATGTTCTCTCATCACCGTCAGCATCCGCACGTCCTCACAGATGCAACTGCTGGGCGTCTGTCCTCCTAGAAGGACAGGGGATGCAGGAGGGATGACCACCCTCCGGCCCCAGAGCATGAGTGCAGAGAGTGACGGAGGGGACTCTGGCTTCTGCAAAACCCCTTCCCTACCCCGCTCCTCACTTGCGCAGCCAGTGGTCCTCAGGGGCGAAGCGGCGCCGACAGTCCCGCTCATACAGCACCATCAGCCACCCGTGCACGGACTGGAACAGCTCCAAAGTCTCCCCCTTGGCGTTCTCTGTGGGGCAAATGAACGGGGGAGCTGTATGCACGGAGCTGGTCAGAGTCGGCGGGGGGCCAGGAGGACAGCTTCTTGTCTCCGTCTGTCACCAAGCCCCACCAAGGCCCTCATCTCCCTCACTCTGGATTTCACACGGAACCAAGAGAATAAAAGGCGCCCTGGGTATGTTCTAAATGTCTGCAGGACCTGGGTGCCCCAGACACAATCACTCATGCTGCCTCCCACTAGCAGGTGATCCAAAAGACCTTTTTAACGTAAGGAGCTTTGTACTGAACAACTTGCAAGCACTTCAGGACGGGAACTCTGATTTGAAGTGTGCCCTGACACGTCATGGAAATCAACTCAAAGAAGCAAAAGGAGAGGCAGCGCAAAATCCTCAGCATCAATAATCCTCCACATGTATATGTACATGCTGGAGGGAGATCTAAGACCTCCATAACCACACTGCTACCTTAAGGGGCCATGCAGAGAGCAAAGAAGTAAAACTTCTAATTACGTGAATAAATGTGCCTTTCCAATTCACTGTGATGGGCAATAAAGCTAAGAATCAGGTGATGGTACAGACCGTGGCCTCCCTGTGTGGCAACGCTGAAATGACAGCTGGCATCTTTACCGTACCTACGAGTCCATCCCAGATCATCTTAAACACAAAGGAGTTCAGGAAAGAGGAGATGGTGACCAGCTCTTCCAGTTTGAAGGAAATCTGTTCTTCATAAACTTCAATGTCGTCAAGGATCCTAAATCAGATGGAAAATTAGTCACAACTTCCCACTGAGGAAAGGGGGGAAAATAGGAGATCTCTACCTCTTATGAGAGAAAAGTAAGCTCAAGAAATAAGCTTTATCTTTCAGATAAAATGTACAGCTAACACAATAGGATGTGTAGGATCTGCTTTGGGGTAACGTGGAAGGGAGAGCCGGTGGGGGTGGAGGGAAAGCAGAGGTGGCTACATCCTGACCACTGTGGATGGGTACGTGGGGGTTCCTTCTACTATTCTCCCCACTTTCTATTTATTTGCAATTGTCCGTAGTAAAAATTTTAAACCTACAATTGAGAGAGGAAAAAAATAAGCTCCCCTTTATATTTTTCTTATTCGTAAGGATCCGACTGTGACACCCTTCTTAATTCCTGCCTGAATTCATGCCTAACGATCAAGGAATCTCGACTGAGAGTCTGTGTCCACTGAGGAGAGCCATGGAATCTTCCTCTGCATCTACGACAACCACTAATGTAGGTGCCTGAGAAGAAGTATTTATGAGGGAATGAATGGATGCCTGAAACAACATGTGCGTAAATGAACCGTTTAAGTTACAGCTCTATGTGAAAATTTCCCAAGACTGCTTCATTTGCTTTACAGCACAACTCACTCTCAGCTCACGCTGGACCCAGCCATTCAGCGAGTCTTCAGGGGCAGCCACAGAGCCCTGCGCTCGCCTCCAACTGCTCACCATGATTCTTACCCACCTACCATCCCTGATCCCCTCCTACCAATCAGTGTCTTCTACCCTGAACGTAACTGTCTGGGATCCCTTCTCTCTTATAATTCTTTACCAACCTTTGGGAAAACGTGGAATTAAAAAAATACCAAACACACAAGTAGACACATAAGCTTAAAAAACAAAGGAACTGAATGGGACTCACATTTGCTAATGCCCCACTTTGTGCCAGGCACTGTACTGAGAACGTGACGTTCCTTTTCTCATTTACTCCCTATCAGATTGCTAATATTATCCCCATTCTACGAATAAGGAAACCGAAGCTCAGAGAGGTTAAGCAACTTGCCTAGGGTCAGTTTGATAATCATAAGCATCACAGCCCTTCCTGTGTGCCAGGGACTGTGCCAAGCACTTTGTGTGCATTACCTCTTTTAATCCTTACCACATGGCCAAGAGGCACGTACTACTGTTATTCCCATCTACAGAGGAGAAAATGGAGGCTCAGAGAGGCGAGGCCCCCTTGCCCAACGTGTCTCGGGAAGTGGCCGACTCAGGATTTGCCTCCTGGCTCCTTGGCTCTGAAATCTTCCAGGTAACTACCTAACCCAGTGAGTAAATGGTGGAGGTGTGACTTGAACCCAGCTCTGGGAGACCCCCAAAGCCCACACACAAGGGTACTGACCCAGCTCCCCTAGAAGGATGGGAACTAAGAATTGCTGAACCCCGACTACGTGCCGCCCACCTTGTACTGTAAATGTTTTCTGGCCTAATTTTCCTAATGACCCTGCCACAGGGGTCCGAACGATGGCGGTAATCACAGCAGCAGCAGCTTCCTTACAGCATTGTGATTTGGCTTCTCCACATTCGAGGAAAGGAATGGAGGCCCACAGCAGTCAACCTACGTGATGAGGTGCCGGGAGCAGTCACAGAACAGCATCAGCATGGCCAAGAGCTGCTTGGACTCTTCAGTGTCATTGTTGAGGCATTCCAAGAAGAGCTTTAACCCTCCGTGGGGCCCCAGCTCACAGATAAACGCCCACAGTTTGGGGAGCAGGTCATCAAGGTAAGTGAGACCTGGAAAAGGATAGAGAAACCCAAGCTTCAGGTGGGGGCTCCATCTGGTCCACGGTTTCTCCTACCCACTGGGGGAACAAAATGCTTACACTTCTAAGGTGCAATCACTAAGAAAATCATTATCCCCATGAGAGGAATAATCACAGTAATAGCTAATATTTCATGGGTGCTTTCCAAGTTTCAGATATCAATCTAAGTACTCTGCATGCATTATCTCCTCTCTATCCTGTGAAACCCAATGTTACCTCCATTTTATAAGAGAAAAAAAACTGAAGCAGGGAGAGGTTAAGTAATTAGCCCCAAACCACTCAGCCAGTAAGTATCAGAGCTAAGCAGAGAACCCACATCTGTTTGACTCAGTGTTTATATTTTAAATCACGGATCAGCAAATTTTTCCTGGAAAGGGCTAGAGACTAAGCATTTTTTTAGGCTGTGTGGGCCTGGCTTAGCACCCTATCACACTACTGAAAGCTACCAGTGTAGCACAAAAGCAGCCACAGACAATACGTAAATGAATGGATGGGACTGTATTCCAATAAAACTTTATTTGCAAAACCAAGTGGTGGGCCATATTTGGCCCACAGGCTGCAGTTTGCAGACCCTGCTTTAAACCATCTTTCAGGCTCACCTATATTTATCAAAGCTTTCCTCTCCTCTACTTCTATTATTCTATCTCTGCTAAAAATGGGAAAGCAATGAATGACTGTAGCGGAGATCCTGTGCAGTGTCTCACAAACATTTAACCCTGGGTGAAGCAGAAGACATTTTAGATCTGCTTTCTGATGGCCTCAAGGCCTCAGACACACAGGCTACAACACTGTTACATTTTAAGTCTATTAATACAGCTATTGACTCAGAGAGCCCAGCTCTAAAGTTCCACGTGTCTCTGAATATACAATAAGGTGTCTGTCTCAAATTTTTCCTCATATTTCACTTTATATTTGAGTCCTTATAATATCTCTCATTTTACAGAGCACTCTGAATTACTTAATTGTGAACAAAGAACTGCTTGGGGAAGATATATTTGCCTGGAACAGGGGCAGGATGACACAATCAATGCTGCTATAAATGCTTAGACTGGGGTGGCCTGAAGGGACCATAGAGGAGGCAAAGAAACGGGAGCGCCCACTTAGTTATTATTCGTAAAGGTTTGAGCTCACATTTTCAAGGTAGCAGAATATGGTTATAGAATGCAGAGACCAAAAAAGAAAGAAGAATGCAGAACCCTCACAATTTAAAAATAGAGTAAGAGAGAAACAGAGTGAGTAGTTAAACTGTGGAGACCACAAATGTACTCCCACAGGACAATTAGGAAGAGCAACTACTCTCACATTATGTGAATGGTCCTCACGGTGTGGACGAGAATACTCATTTCCAGCCTCAGACACAGATTCAACCAGGGCTGCATCTGCAGCAACTCCAATAGAAATGAAGATGCAGGGCTCTGGAGAGCTCTGCCAGGGGCCAGCACGTGGCTCTGGGCCACCAAGTGCATGTGAGGAGCATGAGCAAAGAAGTGTATTATCTTCTACAATCTGCTTTGCATGTAGCTGAACAGACCGAATACTCTACAAACACTTTAGACTAGTTTACCTCCTTCTTAAAAGGATGTATTTTCAACTTAGCCGAGAAAGCTTCTTTCTGGGTGCTCTCACTCAGACAACAGGGATGCCTGAATTTGTGGTCACCTTAAAAAGCTGAGCACAGGCCATAACCTAAAAGTCACATCACTCACTATGCTTCTCAAACCCTCACAGTGGGTGCTGGGGTGCCAGGCTTGGTCTAGACCCGTTTGCCTCCTTTTGCATTCTCCTGATGGAGCCTGCCCTGGGCCCACGGTTTTACATGACACCCCTTTGTCTGTACCCCCACAGTATACTCACATGCCTGTTTGGCACCTCACACTCATCAGAGCCAAAGAGAACTCGTCGTTCCCCATAAGCCCCACCCCCAGCTGGCTGTCGCCAGCTCAGCAAATGGTACCACCATCCACACAGGCTGCTGGGGCCAACACTCTGGCCTCACCTTTGAGGCCTTTAGCCTTCACTCTTCCAAATCCAATGTACCTGTAAGACCTGTAGACGCGACCTCTGAAACATGTACAGAGGCCCCTGCTTCCCACCCTGCCAGCACACCCGTCCTGTGCTGTTCAACCAGAGACCGTGCTGCCCCAGGCGGCAGCTGGCAGTGTCCGGAGACACGCAGGGCTGGCACAACCGGGGAGGGGGCAGCACTACCGGACACCGGGGTAGGGGCCAGGGGCTGCTAACCACCCTACAGCGGACAAGCGGACTCCACAGCAAAGAATTTTTGGGCCCAAGAGTGCAGCAGTGCTGAGGCTGGGAAAGCCCGCTCCAGTCCAAGCCCACACCGTCTCCTTACTTCCGCGGTCACAGAGCCCATCATGACAGTAAATACGCTTTTCCCTTGCCTACAGCTCGCCTCCCTACTCTTAGAATCCTCTTGGGAAAGGGACTCTCGCTGCCTTGGTCACCTCTTCACCCCCACGGCCTGGCACAGACAGGTGCTCTGTTAATGTCTGAAGATGAATAAATATGTGTGAAAGAGAGAAGCAGTGGCAATCTATAATTTAAAAAAAAATGTAAAATGAAACAGAAAAGTTCTTAACCCTTTATGCAGTCAACAGCTTCATGGCCTACAGACTTTCTGTCCTCATCACACCAATTCATATGAACAAGTCCTGCACGGCAGTGGGAAGCCCCAAATGCCCAAGCCCCGTGTTCATGACACACACGACTTTCTTCCTTGCTCGGCTAAGAAGGAAAACGTTGGGCACATCCGTGTGATGAGATACTACGCGGTCAACAGAAATGAAATTTTGGAAGAATTGTTGACAATGATAAGATGCTTCTAAAGTGATGAACAGAAAGGGAAAGGTAAAACTACATATTTCAATCTAAACATACATATACATAAATGTGGTACACTCAGGCACAGGTGGTTATCCTTGGACTATAGGATTAAATATGGTCTAAGTTTTCTTTTTTCATGTCTTTTCTAGTTTTCTATTCAGAAAAAGTAGTAACTTTTGAAGGCAAATTGCACTGCATAATGGAAATAAAAGCCAGGTCACAGGAACGAACTGGCAGCGCTGGGACTGAGGTCAGTGTGAGCCATTTAACAGAGGTGTATCAACCTCTAAGAAGAACAGCTCAAAAATACCCTCCCCTTCAAAACGTATCTTCTGAGCCATGAAAGCCGGAAGAATATCAACTTTTTCTAAGAAAAATCATCCGCCAAATGTCAGAGATGGAAGATGCTGCCTCAGGACTCCGAACCTGTGAGTATCTGTAGCCGGATCTGGGTCAGAGTCGTCAGCGAGGTCTGGTAGAGGACACAGATGTTGCAGACCTTCTGGACCTCTGCAGAGTCCACACGCTTACCCCCAACAGGCCTGAGAATATTCCGAACGGATGCAGACTTCTGAAACGCACGCTTCAGGAGATCTGGCATGGAGAGGAGAAGGAATGGGTGAGCAGACGTTCAGCCATCTGTCTGGTTTTCCTCTGTAAAGAGCATTTCAATAAAGTGCCTGATTTACAGCCAGGCCTGGACGGTGGGGCGGCTGCTCTGACTCAAGTCATCTCCTTGGGACGAATTAGAAAAGCGTTAACAATAGGCTTTTAGGTGCAACCCAGAGACCTCTTCAGAACATCAGAAAATATCTCAGACCAAGCCAGGTCTATTTGACTCCTACAGGGGATTCTTTTACCAGACCCCCTTTTACCAGGGAGATTTTTCTGATTAGAGGCTCAGAAAGGCTCGACTTCCCCTAAGAAATGGGCCTTCCTTCTTCGTGTTAATGAGTAAGAAAAGATCCACAAACCCCCTTTCATTCTAGCTACTAGAAATTCAGAGCCAAATGGAAGTTCAGAGATCCCCACTGTAGCCCTCAGGGAATCCATAATCTCTACACATGGTCTTGGTCTGGTTCACCTATTTAGGTTTCCCTGGTCCTTGTTTTCCATCCCTAAGGGTTTTCTGCTGCTCTTTTGCTAAATGTGAACTTGGTTGGAGCAGTCTTTTAGCCTGTGTGGGAGAAGCTCAAGTGTCACAGAAGTGGAGGGGGCAGGCCCACAGGGACCACAGGAGCTGCACTGGAGCCAAGCAGAGCCCTGGGCTCCGCCCGCCCCAGCCACTCACTCTTCACAGGAAGCACATTCTGGGGGGATGCTGGCTGCACGTGGGCTGGCTCCTGGTTTTCCAGCAGCTTCTTGCTCAGGATGTCACAGAAGAAGATCCGGATCAGAGGCACCCCCCACAGGAACTGCAGCTGCTTGGTGATCAAGGGCATGGACTCATTAAGGCTAGGAGAGAGCAGGAGACCAGGTGGGTCAGTTCTACCTGACGGATGGCCACCGACAGCTCTCAGCTCCCCACTGGGCCTTCCACGTGGGGGGCTGGCTATGGCCTGCCACTCAACATGGCAAATAAGAGGATAAAAAAGAGTAAGTGGGATCCACAAATGCCACTGAGGGCCTAGATGCATACGGTACTGCCCTCTTTGTCTTCTCTGCCACCCTCCCCAGGGCTTCCTGTGCCGCTGACAGCATTCCTGCTCACCCCAGGGCCCCAGGCTCTCCTCAGCACAGTCCTCCCAGACACCCTGTCTCAGTTCTTCATCCTGACCCCACCCCACTTACCACCCAGTCCACAAAAGCTAAATGATTCTTGTTGTACGGTCCTCTTCTTCACACCTAGACTGCAGGCCTGGCCCGCAAGTCTCCGTGCCCCCAACCTCCTAAGAGTCTCCTTGCCTTCAAGTGCTCCCTCCCCCAATCCACACGGCACCCCAAGCATCAGACTCCCTCCTGAAATCTGCCTTCATCGCCTCCCAGCTCTCCATCCCATCAAGGCTCCCTCAGGCTCCCAGCATCACAGGAGAAAGAGCCGCCACCCATGAGCATGGGCCAGGCCTAGAGGCAGGCCCTTGACATATCTTATCTCATTCGGTCCTCTGAAACAACACTATCCGAGGACTGGGAAAACTGTCCCCATGTTTCAGGATTGGAGAGTGGGGTAAAGCGGCTTGCCCAAAGCCCCCAGAGCAGACCAGGCTGCACAGTGCTGTGCTCTCCTGCCCCTCCTACCTCCCACAACCTCCCTCCCGAGTCCCAATCACACATGCTTCCATCCTCTTCAGGCTGGGATGTCACACAGGGACCTGCCATCGGCTGGTCATTTGTCTCTTCAACTGGATGCCTCTCAGGCACAAGGAAAAGGGAGACAATCTGGGGATTTCCTTCCCTGGCCCTCATTCTTTGCCTCAAGGGCAGCTGCCAGGGACCCAGGCAGAGATCTGAACAGGAAAACAGTTATCCAGCCGCCTTCGCTCTGAGACCTGCCTCATCTCAGTCGAGGGTACAGCTTTCATTTTCAAACTTGCGATGCTACTTCACTTAATTGCTCTTCTTGCCTAACATTTTTAATGTTTTTGAGTTCTGTAATTAAGAATTTTTAAACCGATATTCCACCTCTTGAAAAGGATGAGGTGACTTCTATCCCCTTTCAATCATGTGTCTTATTTCAGTATCTCCAAAATATGGCAGTCTAGGGAGTCAGGAAAAGCGATATTGAAAAAGAAAAAACAGTATTTGATAGATGAGGTTCACAGTTTACTAAAGAATTAAATACAAAAAAAATGACCTCAAAACAACTGCTGATATTTACAGGTAAAAAAAGAAACTGAAGGGATATTCACGCAGGTTGTCTCGGGGTAGTGGCACAATGGGGTGGTTTTCAGTCTCTTTTGGTCTTATCCAGATTTTATTCAGTGAATATATATTACTTTTGTAACAAACAACACAACACAAGCTGGAAGAAAGGAAGGAAGAAGGGAGAGGTGTTGAGAGGCAGGCAGGGGACAGGAAAGATGGCGGTTTGCCTCCAGGCCTCACCCGTAGTCCACAGATTGCGAGAACCAGCCGAGGACAGGGTGCCAGTGTGTCAGGTTGGATTTCTTCTGGGACACGTACTTCTGACAGTAGCACAGCATCTGGGTGAGCAAACTCACAAACCCTTCCGTCTCCTCCTCTAACACCCTGGGGCTGAGGGAGCCCAAGTGCAGGAGGTTGCCTACAAAGAGAGAAACAGAGTGTAGTGGGGCCAGGTGACCCACTGCGTCACCTTCACAGCCCTGCTCTCTGCCCAGGGCTCCTGCAGACAAGTCCATGTGCAGGAAGAAACTCCACGCAGAGAGGTGCCTGGCTTCAAATCCTGGCCCTGCCACAAAAGAGCTGCGTGCCCCTCAACCCACCTCTCCAACCCGTTTCCTCATTGTAAGACTGGAATAAAGCTCCCCACTCTTGATGTGAGGATTATATGAAGTAACGTAAAACATCACACAGAGGTGTGTGATCTTTAGTTAGCGTAACATTTTGATATTACACTAAGATTAAAAAATCAAGAGCCGGTGTAAGAAACGACCTTTGGAAGGACATCTGAGCGTTCTGGGAAATCACTGTTGTCCAATGTTCACCGAAGTTATTCAATATGCCTTGTGTGAGGCCTCTCACCATAAACTCTCTTAAAATTTTGCCCCGAGAACCCTTTTCTATGTAAAATAAACTTCTTCTAAGTGATGAGAATTACGTACCACTGCTGATTTTAAATGCTTCTATCCATTTGCTTCTGTCCTGTCCTCATTTACAAGGAAAACGTAAAATAGATGATGCAGGCCCTACTCTGATCTAAACACCACCTAACTGTGCCCGTTCTTCTCTCTGGAGATGGAAAATTATCCAGGCGATTCACGGCATTTTCATTTTTCCCTTGGCTGCCAGGAAGCTGAGGGCCCAAATTTAATATTCATTTACAGCCACTCAACTAGGTTGCCAGGTGGATATATTTTCCATTGATTTTCAATTTTACGTGTCTGTTTTATCTATCTGGTTATATGTCTTTTAAGTACCTCCAAGTGTTACTAAAAACAACTCATGATCTCCAGAACAGTAAAAAACAAAAACACTTGGGACTTTTCCCGACACCCAGAACACAGTCAAATTCCAGCCACAGATACTCACCCATTAGACAGAGCGTATGGCATCCTTCTAAGCTTTCACATACGTCACGGCATCGATCTTCGTTTCTTAAAAACATGATGAATTTACGAAGCATGTCATGAGATTCTAAAACAGTGAGGCGCTGCAAACAATTGCAGACTGTTAGAGCGGGAGCTGACAGGAAGAACTTCCCACCACAGCATGAATGTGAAGGCTTGCAGATCAACACCTGGATGCCAAACGTGCCCTCAATGGCCAGGAAGAATACTAACAAAGATGAGAACCTGGTTCTCTGGCCTGCTAACATGAGCGTGCCTATGGTGGCTACTGGTTTAGAAGAAATCTCAGGAGAAGAAGTGGAAATTAACAGAGAAAACATTTACTCTCTAATTTCTAAGAAGAAAGGCAAAAACGGACTCGGGGGGACATCACAGAGTCACTTACCTCAGGGGTCACTGTGCTGAGATGAGTCACAAGAGCAGGTACAGACATGATGTGGATGAGGAATGGCCGAATCAGATTGTCTGAAAATTGTGCGGCAATCACAGGGCTAGACACAGACAGATCACCTTATTCACACGGGCTTGCACGTCACCCCAGAGCCAAAGAGCAACTCTGCCAGTGCCCCCAGTTCCCCTGGAATTATGCTTCCCAGGACTTCTAGGAAAACTAGAGGCTGAAAATGAGGACACCTGCAAGGGGAGTGGCTGAGTCAGTGACAGTATAGTGGTAGGATGCAGCTATGAGACAGAAAGCCGTTTTGAAGTTTTACTGACATGAGCGTATACTCATGCTGTAATAAACTTTAAGGAAAACAGGATGAGGAACTATGTCTATGGGAGACAAGAGAGAAGGTAGTGACCTGGAGGAAGGAAAAGAGCTTCTGGAATGCCAGCACTGTTCTATTTCTCAAGGGGAGTGGTCCTTATGCAGGCGTGTTTACTATGTGATAATTGACCAACAATTCACACTTCGATTAAGCAATGTACTGTAAGTATGCGTTATGATAATAAAACTTAGATATGTGTATATACAGATAAGCCCATAAGTATGTACAAGTGAAAAAAACCCAAGAAGGACAGATTTAAAAAAATGTTAACAACGTATGTCTGGGTGGTAGAATCAGGACAGACATTTTTTCTTCCTTATACTACTCTATTTCATTCAGGTTTTCTACAATAAGCATGCAATCCTCCATAATCAGAAAAAAAGATAAATGTTACTAAAATAAGATAATGACCCCTACCCCACACCATATGTAAAAATTAACTCAAAATGGATTTTACACCTAAATGCTAGTTTTATAACTAAAACTGTAAAACTCTTAGAAGGAAACACAGCAGTAAATCTTTGTGACCTTGGGTTTGACAATGATTTTTTAGGACAAAAAAAAAAAAAGTCACAAAATTTGGGGCGCCTGGATGGCTCAGTTGGTTGAGCGTCTGCCTTTGGCTCAGGTCATGACCCCAGGGTCCTGGGATCGAGCCCCACACGGGGCTCCCGGCTCAGTGGGGAGTCTGCTTCTCCCTCTGGCTCTGCCCCTCCTCCTTGCTGTTGTGTGCACGTGTGCTCTTTCTCACTCTCTCTCAAAATGGATGAATAAAATCTTAAAAAAAAAAAAATCACAAAATATAAAACTTGTGGCTTCAAAAGACACCATTAAGAAAGTGAAAAGACAACCAGCAGAAAGGGAGGAAATATTTGCAAATTATCTCCTGATAAGGGACTTTTATTTGGAACATATAAAGAACTCAAACACTCAACAACAAAAGACAACCCAATTAAACAATGGGCAAAGAATGTAAATAGACATTTCTCCAAAGAAAGAGATGCAAATGGTTAATAAGCACATGACAAGATGGTTAACATCACTGGCCATCAGGGAACTGCAGATCAAAACAACAGGGAGGGATCACCTCACACCCATGAAGAGGGCTATGATAAAGAAGATAACAAGGGTTGGTGGGAACTTGGAGAATTTGTAACCCTCATTCATTACTGGTGGGAATGTAAGACGGTGAGGCCACTTTGTTTGGCAGTTTTTCTAAAAGTTAAGCACAGAGTTACCACCTGATCCAGCAATTCCACTCTGAGGAATATATACAAAATGAAAAGCATGTCCACACTAAAAACTTACACATAAATGTTCACAGTAGCACCATTCATGATAGCCAAAAAATAGAAACAACCCAAATGTGGCATAGCCATACCACGGAATATTACTCAGCCATAAAAAAGAACGAAGAACGGATACATTCTACAATGAAAGTGAAGGAAGCCAGGCACGGAAGACCACATGTTGTAGGATTCCATTTATGTGAAACGTCCAGAACAGGCAAATCCCAAGGGAGAGAAAGTAGATTAGTTGTTGCTGGGGGCATGGAAGGGGGGAGGGGGTGGGGGTGGGGGTGGAAGGGATGTGACTGGTGATGGGTATGGGGTTTATTTCGGGAATTAGACAGTGGTGATGACTGCACAACTCTGTGAATGTACTAAAAACCAGTGAACTGTATATTTCAAAGGAGTGAAAGGTAGGATATCTGAATTATAATTCAATAAAGTTATTTTAAAAAAACACCAGAGGTCATGCAAGAAAAAACAACAACAACAAAAAGAACTTACAGGAGGAAATTGATCTCTTCTAGCTAATGTGCTCCAGTGGCAACAAGCAAGTATGTTACCAGTATTTAGACTATCAGAATTTGTATTATAAACTTCCACTTTCAAGGGTACCATTTTTGGGACCAGAAAACTGCATATGGCTGAAGTGCTCAAAACACCAGTGTCTACGTCAACCACCTGTCTATAGGAGGCTGACCAGTCAAGCTAAACTCACTGAGCTGAGTTGGACAAAAGCGAATTCTCTAAAAAGAGAATTAAGTTACTTTCTGTATGTTAGAAAGAAGTGTGGATCAGGACTAAGCAATTACCTAGACAGAGGAAAAGCAAACCACAAGAGAATGTCACCAAAGCTTTAACTCATCACTTCCCGCTTCCAAGGGGACGCCAAGGGCAGGATCCCACCCTGAGTCATATCCCGGAGTAAATCCGCCTGACTGACCAGGAGTGAGGCACTGCAGGACTGCTAGGAGGCAGGGTTGCCTTGAGGGAGGCCAGTTTCAAAAGACCACACATACACACCAGACGCTCCATTTCCCTCAATGCCCTGTTATCTATACCCCCAGCATGAGGTCATCAAAAATTTCCTTTAGCCTTGTGGTTGTTGCACCTAAGCCCCCTAGGGTGACAAATCCTTCCAATGTCCTGTCAGTGGCACACTGGACAGGGTGCGCCTTATGTGCGGGTCTCAGTGTTAGGCACGGCAGGGGAGCAGGGGAAAAGAGAGGTTCACTGCACAGTACCCGCCAACAGAGAGCTCATGCTGCAACCAGGGAGCGGGACAGGCACACGGGAAAAACAGAAACTGAGCCTGGGCAAACCTGGGGCCTGGGTAAGAAATGGAACAGGGAGAATTTGAGAAAGTTCCCACGTGCACGAATTCTATATATATTGTACCTAGAATACAAAAATGTGTCCAGTACGGGAGGCAGGTAGGCAAGTGTAAAAAAGAGCATGGGCTCTGGAGTCAGACAGCCTGGGTTTAATTCCTGGCCCTGCCGCTCCCTGCTGTGTGACCAGGGGCACATGGCTTAACCTCTCTGGGCCTTAGCTTCCTCATCTATGAAACCAAGATAAGAGAACGTGGTAAGGAGTCATATATGTGAGTAGAAGTCTTAAAACAATTGTGTGGCCCATGAATGTTAGCTATTTGCATCATAAGATTTGGTGATCATGTCTAAACATATCATTTATAATTTTATAGACTTTCAACAGTTTATTCCAGTATGACAAAACCACTAGGTATCTTGTTTTAAAAGGTCCCGGCCATTTTCAATTACATACAGATATTCCGAGGGGGAGAAAGTGCACTGTTTAAGAAAAAGGCTTTAAAGCAGCCCGGCCTTCACAAGTGAGCCAAAGGACTCTAACGTACAGAGTGAAAAAACCTAAAATGACGGATGCTACCATATTCTTAAGGGAGAAGAAACGTGCTGGAATGGGTGGATGTGACCCTCTTGGTGAATCACACCATGAATGACAACCCTCTCGGGGCAGGGGAGGGACGCCGGAACAGAAGGAAGATTTGTGTTCTCAGGGAGACCTAGGAGGCGGCAGAGCTGCTGCTGTGCCTGGAGCTCAGGCATCCGTGTGTCAACCCTTCGCTGCCCCTGACAGAGGAGAGGGTGGGTGATGCCGGAATGAGCCGCCCCAGAAGGTGACTCAGGAAAAGAAGTTGAAGGAAACCTCCCACTGGAAAACCTGTTTGTACCTACATCCTACGACTCATTAAATACAACTCCTCTCAAGGTCTGCAAGGAAAGTCTAATTGTTTACTGGATAATCTGTCTAGCTCTGGAACTAATTATAGCATCACTGGTTGACACCTGCTCTTCGGTCTTAAGGATCTCGCCTCTAGAAACGAGCAGTAGCCGCTGACCACGTGTGGCTCCTGGGCACTTACAATGTGGTGAGTTCAGCAGCAGACAGGCTTTAAGTATAAAATCCACCCCAGGTTTTGAAGACTCCGTATGAAAAGAAAACAATTATTACTTTTAAATAAAATAAATTATTTGAAAATACTGACTTCATGTAGAAATGATTATACTTCAGATACACTGGTTTAAACAAAATAGATTATTAAACTTAATTTCCCCTTTCTTTGGACTTTTTAAATGCAGTTCTCATTATATTTCTATTGGCAGGGCTGCTCTAGACCAGCCTTGTCCCATAGAACTTTCCGTGATGATGGGAATGTTCCTTTATTTGTGCGGTCCAGGAAGGTCATCACTGCTCAGTCCCATGTGGCCCGGAAGCACTTGAAACGTGCCTAAATGAGGAACTGAATTCTTCGTTGTAATGTATTTCTATTTAAACAGCCCCACAGGGTTCAGTGGTTAGTGGACAGCACAGTCTAGACCAGGAGTGGCAAAATATGGCTCAAAGACCCAATTCTGCCCACTGCCTATTTTTCTAAATACAGTTTTATTGAAATACAGCCCTTCTTGCTTGTGTATGTATGGTCTACAGCTGCTTTGTGCTGCAAGAGCAGGGCAGTTGTGACAGTGTGTGGCCCACAGAACCGAAAATACGTATTAGCTGGCCCCTTACCGAAAAAGTTTGCCAACTGATATTCTAGAACATCATTTTCCAAAATAGTATTCCATAGAAAAGGACTCCATGGGACATTAATAGACATGCTCCACCACTGAAAAATTAGGCGAAGGTATTCCATGTTCAGATATGTTTGGGCCAACATCAGATTAAACAAGCCCAAAGGTTCCTGAACCTCGGGACTTGTCAAGAGCTTCCTGAGGTCAAGTGCCCGGTGGATTAGCAAAGGGGACAGAGCAGGGAGCTCTAACAAGCTAATTTGACCCCAACACTCCCTCTGCCCTAAGTTATTATTATCTTAGGGATTAAGATCAGCAGGTTACCTTATTAACATCTTCCCCCAAGTTAGTGCTCCTTTCAACAGTTTAAGAATGTTCCGGACACAAAGACACAGCTTTGTGTACACGGCGATTCTCTGAATTGCAGGCATAATTTCTACATGGAACTATTTAGCTTCGTATGTATTTTGTATCTCCTAACTAAGTGAAGACAAACAGCACATCCTCTCTGGGCCTCCAGATTCGAACATTTTAAACCCGTGTTCACAACACTACTCCCTTAACCCTCTGCTTGGCCCTTTGCTGAGCCTCCTCCAGCTCTCGGGTTCTCTATATCGATTAAAAGCTCAAAGGGAAAAATGCTTGTGTCTCGGGCCCCTGGCACAATGAAAAGCAATTCACTTTGAAAAACTTCCTTCAAATCATGCTGCAAAAAATTCAGGGACACAGACAGAAGAGCTGCCACAGATGCGTCACAATCGGAGGAAAGACACTTCCTGTGAATTCGGACAAAGTGGGCAGCCCACACCGAACATAAGGAACAGGAGAAAAGGAAAGCGAGGAGAGGAAGCCTCCCGAAGTACGCCAACCCCTCAGATGGAGTTTACTACTTACCGCAGCGCTAGAGAAAAGGTTGCAGTTAAAGTGCCTTTGGACAGACAAGGCCGGGGTCTCGCCAGGCCACGGGTTAACAATATCTGAAAAAGAACATCTTAACTGGTCAGGGGACAACGCCAACTATATATTCACTTGTACGTAAAAAAGCACAGAAGTAAAATGAGGGCTTCAGATAAAAAACTCTACTGGAATGTTTTCTGAAAGTGAAGGCAGAGCAAGGTGAGGGTTATCGCCTTCATGACACCTCTCTTGATATCGTATTTAAAATTCTGAAATAATAAAGAGCTAAAAAAGTTAACGGCCAGTGAAAAGAACACCAGACTTAAATCTCGCCTGTGTGTTCTTTCTACATTCTGGTATCCAAAAGCTTCCTCACAGAGATGAACGGCTGACGACACCACCTCTGGCCAGCATGCCACCTCACAGGGTTTGTTCGAGGAGAAAAGGCAACCCGATCAGGAAGGAGCCCATCTCAGTACCAGGCAGAAGGCAGGGCTAAATCAATGCAACTTCTTAAACTCGAAATTTCCAAAGTGCTTTTAAACAGCGGTTAGAGTTCTGACAATTCCCTGGGGGTGTGAGATGGCACAGTCAGGGGCAGTGTGGACAGAAGGTGTTTGAGGACACAGCAAGAAAGGTAATTCCAGACACCACTCAAGAAGGAACCTGAGGGAACCAAGCCCTGAGGCCTCCTTCCCAACTTTAAATGTCAAGTGGCTGGGTTATTCCTGGAGCCAAAGATGGAGCACAATAAAGGGATCCCAGGGCCACTGTCCTCCCTTGACACAAACCACAAGGGACTCAAGGTAGGGGAAGAGACAGGATGCCAGGCCTTAAACTCCCGTGAAAAGGTTTCTGTGGGGAGGGCACCAGATAGGCCGAAATCAGCTGTAAAAATCCAAGTTTAGGTAAGGAAGAACGAGGTCCCATGATAGGGGATGGGGGTCACAAACCTGCAGCACAGAATAAAATCCACGCTGGTTGAGATGTCCCATGATGTTTGCACAAATGTGGTTCATGGCTGGTCGAAGACTCTCCCCTAAATGAAGAAAGAAGTCTGAGAAAAAAGGCTCTGGCCTTACTGTGAACCTTTTATATGTGGTACAGAATATCACGGCCCAGGCCCGAGGCCATAAAGAAAGTAGATTTTCTCTGGCTTGCTTTCCTACTCTCCCCGCTTTGGTTCGGTACCAGAGTACAGGGAGAGGCCAATCTCCAAAATTCTCTCTCCCAGAAGGTCCAGCTCAAGTGTCCCCTCTTAGGTGATGAGTCCTGTCATTTCCCTGGCCAGAAGTAACGTCCCCAGCCTCTGAGCGCCTGTAGCACCCCTCCTGATTCCGAGGGTTTGGCACTTTCTGCTCTCTGTGGCTGCCTCCTATCACACTGGGATATGAGCTCCCTGGAACTCAAGGCCAGAACTCACCCAGTTTTAAACCACCCCCCAATGCCCCTGCCTTAAAATCACCCCTCCTTCTTGGCCGGGAACCTCTGCACATACAGTTGCCTCTGCTCTCAGTGTTGTCCCTCCTCTTGGCCCCGTGAACGCCTACTCTCCCTCCGGCTCTTAGCTCAGACATCGCTCCTGCAGGAGAGCCCGAGCGCCAGACACAGCGAGGCAGGTCCTCCCCCATCCGCTGAATGCTCTCGCCTCCTGTACCCTTCCTTCCAAGCACTTGCCACACTGCTGTCAGGGCACGTATGTGTTTACGTGTATAGTCTGCCTATGTTCATATACAGTCACAGATCTGTGACTTCCCTTTGGAGTTTGTCTCCCTCACCAGACTCCCTAGTGCTCTGAGGAAGGGCAGGCACACAGCAGGCGTTCGGCACCTAAAGCCCTCCGAGGGCAGTGACCTCTCTGTCTCTGCAGCGCCTGCGCGGTATCTGGCACGGAGAAGGCTATTTGCTGAACGGATGGATGAAGTGAATGTATGAAACACGTAAGGCTCAGTGCACTATCCGGGGAAAAGGAGGCAGCTTCACAACACAAATTTTATGGGCAAAATAGAATTATTTGCTGCTCAATGATTCTGACACGAATGACAGGCTTGAGCAAATATTATTGCTTTGAGGCTGAGGTGCTAGGGGGTTTTAAAAAAATGAGATCAGAAGGGCCAAGCCTTTAAACATAAATGCAAAGAAAGGAGAAATTGTAACACGACACTGAACATATATTCTGGATACTGCAAATGCTATCTGATGGCAGCGCCAAGGGCATCTTCATTTGTACAGTTTTAGGTCTTTCCCTGAGGCTTACGGCAGTGAACAAGCTTCTTAAAAAGGTGGAAAGGTCCCCAAGCTCACTATGCAAATGCCACTTGGGAAAGGTTTTGAAGCAAGCCCCACAGACCTTTTCCACGGAGAATTTTCCACGTTGAAGTGTCTGTGAAGGTGACAAGCATTGTGAGGTACAGCGTGATGAGTCTGGAGTCCTGTAAAATTTCAGGCTGGAAACAATAAAGAGACTGAGATTAAGACATATGCCCTCCAGTCTCTGACAGCCGAGCATCCACTTACAACCTATCTGGATGCACTCGGCCTCTGAAAAGTGAGTCAGGACTGTCCGAGTTTATTCTTTTTCTCTTGGGGAACGACCACTTTGGGAGTTAAATGACAGAAGTGCTCAAGCATGGAATCTGAAATGCTCTTGGGAATTGAGAATTCTTGGAAAACAAGCTGACTGGAGCTGGCTTGCTGTGTGTACATACGTATGCGTGCATGCATGTATGTTCAGTAAAGCAGCAGTGTAGAAATCCAATTGAACATTACAGGTACTCTAGGCTCAGATGGCTAGCTTTACCACTGCCTAGCTGTGTGATTTAGGCCAAGTCACTTACCCTCTCTGTACCCGTTTCCTCAGCTGTTGACTAGGGGTAGGATCATTGCTTTCTCCATAGGCTTGTTGTTAGAAATATATGGATTAATGTATATAAAGCACGAAGAACAGTGCCCAGCACGGAGATAACTCTATGGAATACTGGCTATTATTATAATCATAATTCATGCTTGTTGCCAGGTCAAGGCCAAGTGAGTCATTCACAAGTGCCTTGAGGGAGATGGCTAGGAATGGATCACTGGAGGCTCTGGGGACATCTGCTCCATCACTCCACTACTACCTGAGTCATTGCCAAACCTCTCCCGGCATCGTGCAAAGTGAAAATGTCTGCCATTTGCAACGACTCACACCTCTGCCCACCTTCTCATAACACAAATGTGAGTACAGGACCAGGAAGGGCCAGTGGCAGTACCCCATCCCTCTTGTCACTGTGACCAGCTCAAGGTTGAGACCAGGATCCCACTGCACCTTTGAGTCCTCCCAGATTTCTAAACCAGTGGGGAGGCCTCCCTTTTCTCTTTGGTCAAGATAGGGTAAGGATGTGAGGCCAGAACTGCTGGCTACCGTGATTCCAAAAGGGAGCAGGGATGAAAGGGACAAGAAGGAGAATCCTAGAAGCTCCTGGTTCTGGTCATCCCTGGCTGCCATGTTACAGAGAATATTCTTAAAAGATATTCTCTTTCTTGCTTAGTTTGTATGTATCACTAGCTGCACTCATGTTTGGTATCTGCACTTGTAACAAGAGGCCTGACTAGTACAGTAATATAAACAATAAATTATCCGTTGTATCAAAAGAATGGAAAGAAAGCCAACAGGTTCCCAATGTTCAAAATACTGCACAGGAAAGAAGGGCTTATTCTGATAACGGTATCTAACTTGCTCTCTCTCAGAACAAGGGCTCTAATAATTTCTTACTAGATTTTTTTTTTTAAAGATTTTATTTATTTATTTATTAGAGAGC